AATATTTCAGTAAAAATAAGTCAGAAGTCTATATGCTAATTTGTTATCCAATGCATTCTTATCATATTTTTAAAATATTTCGATTTTTATGTATTGTATTCTTTACTTTAATATTTATAACTGTCGTCAGTTATCATCTACTTAACTCGTTTTTAATTTATATAATTAACTAAATAAAAGATTAAGAAAGTTTTATTATAAATTTTGTCTAATTTAACGATATTAAATTTTTCTTAAATGTTGAAAATTTATTATAAAATTGTATTAACTTAAGGAAGAAATCTCTATCGCATTCTTTCATCAATTATATGAGTAAAAAAAGAACTTCATAAAAAAAAAAATATATATATATATATTATAAAATTTGCTTTTTTGTTGATTAAAAAAGTAAAGAAGATAAGCCTATTTTCTATCAGATAGTGTTTATATAAAGTATTGAGTAAAAAGTATCTAAATCTGTCTTTGAAATGTCGACATATTAAAGAGTAATACGAAAAGAACAAATTGACTAAGAGTAAAATCTTCAAAAGAAAAAGGAAAAACAGAAATTAATTTTGACAGTATACAGGATAAAGTAGTTATATCTAAAAAGTATCGCAATCTGTTAGAATGGAAAAGGATTAATGATTTAAAGGATGCGGCTTCTTTCGTGACTAGATGAGTCCAAAAGAGGCAGTGTTAGACTCTCCCCTTGTTTCGGGTAAATGGATTGATTTCAGTTCTGTTGCTGCCAACTTTTTTTTTTTTTTTTTACTTTTGATAAACTCCTTGATAAAAAAAAAAAAGCATGCGAAATGGTAGAGAAAAATATTTTCGTGGTGCTACAAGATGAAATTTAGATATAACTGTACTCGCTATCAACCGTATTTACTAGTTAAAGGGATCGTTTATATTTAATGTAAAGTTTATGTACCGTTTAAAAGATACGACAAAAATATTTTTTACTAGAGTAATTTAATGAGAAAGTTATGAAAACATTTAAAAATTTTTTAAATATACGTAACAATTTAATATTTAATGAATACACCTAGTCGAACAATTAGACGAATTCGCATTAATAAACATTATTAAGAATAATTAACGTGAAGAAAATTAACTGACAGAAATAATGTTCTTATTATTAATTTAATGATAAAATTGTTCGTTAATGCCAAATCCGAAATAGTTTCATTTGCATTTGAAGAGAGAGAGAGAGAGAAAAAAAATGAGTAAGTAGAGGAAAATATAATAAATATAAATGTATAGAATTACTACAAACGCATCAACTAGAACTCGCGATGAGACAAAGGGTAAATCGGTTTGGTTCGTGTACTGCGGGTTTCTGAACACACGCTAGGGGAACTAATGTCTCTCCTTTATGAACACAGTCTGTATCAGACGGACTGGCGTCGACAATCGTGTAGTCGACACAAGACTTGAACGTCAATGAGGTACCGATCTGCTTTCTCTACAACAAAGAAACCATGATCATTTGTTATCCTCATATGATCTGTCAATTTTTAATTTTAATCCTATTTTTATCCGCATTAATTTTGTATTCCTAACATTTCTTAAGTTTAATTTATAATACAAGCCACAACCTTTTGTAATATTTAACGTTATTAGGCTATAAAATTCAAACATAGTTTTTTTAAAAATAGTAACCTAAAGAGTTTACAATAAGCAATTGTTGTTTTTAAAATGTGTCTACAGTGTGTTGTAAATACTACAGAAATAGAGAAAAGATATTCCTTAGACAATAAACAGTTTTGTTATTCTTAAAAGTTAAAGTAAAATTTCGTGAGAAACATTTCGACAATTTCATATTTTAAACTTTTTACAAAAAAGAACAAAAATACTAAAAATCTATTGAATTTTCTTTATAATTTAATTAATTAAAATATTAAAAAGACTTTAATAAATTGCAAGAATTGTAAAGTGCAACACGATTCATAAATGCAATTTTCTATATTGGCAACATCGAAAAGATGAAAAATCATCTTTACAGAAACACAGAAAGTTGCAAAGAGAAAGATAATAAACACGATGTTCGGAATTAATTGGCCTTCTTCAAAGAAATTGAAAAAATAAGAGGTTTATGTTGTGAAGAAGGGGAAATGCAAGGGGTGAAGATAAGCTAACACAATCAATTATTCACGTCATGATTCAGCAGTTACTCTCCAGCTATTTACTGCATAATTTAACGGCTACTTCAATCTGTTAGACACACACAAAGTCAATTTGACCTCAGTTTTAAACTAAGAGATGAGGTCGACGACCTTAGGAATTTACAAATGTCTCTATATTCTTAATTTCCTATTTCTTTCCTTACTATCTAAAAAATAATGTTAAATGTTTCCCTTTGTTGTAATACTTTTTTTTTATGAGGGTAGCGGGAAGAAAAATAAACACAAAGCTCTGAGATAAATAGATCAAAAGAAATTTAGATTCAGAAAATAGCCCTTAATGAGATTTTTATTATGAATTAATTCGGTAACACGATAATTTAGTCTTATAAAGTGTTTAGTATATATTTTTTTTCTTATCTAATTAATTTATTTATAATTACTTTTGATGTTTTTGGGTATTGCTAATTTCATTATTACTAAATCCATTCCCGTTTAAGTAAATGTTTACTTTTTTATAAGCTTTTATAATAAGCTTAACTCTGTGAATTTTTAAAATATTAAACTTAATTAAAAATTTTCTAAAGTATAAAACGGTTTATAGCGTTGGAAATTTTAGAATTTTTTTCTCTGTTATTAAAAGAGTAAGAAGAGAGAGAGAGAGAGAGAAAAAAAATAATAATAAATTTAGTTTTTTAACTTCTTTGGTGGCCCGATCGAAACACTTATTATAACCGAGATCAGATTTCTCGGGTTAGCTAAGGAAAACGTTTTCCGATAATGTCAAGAAAAGAATATGAAGCATAGAAAAAAAATTTAAAATTCTTTATTTCTACCATCCCGTCGGCTATCGATCGAATGTCAGTCCACCTCCGAAGTCATCCTACTTCTAAGAGTTGAAATCGTCCAGTGTTGAGCTTAGTCGAAGGAAATCTATAAGTGAACTGTCACAAGTTGGAGTGAGTGGTAAAAGTCTTTACAATTTTCTTCAACAAGAAAATCCATACTTATACTTCACACTAGATTGGTTTTCACAGATTCCCCCATCCAGTGTGGCTCTTACAATGGTGCGATAGTATCTCTCAAAATATCGAAACACTGTGTAGTATATAAATAAAATAATATCATTTTTTTGTTTTATAAACAGTTTAACAGTGATTTATTCTTTACACAATAATCTTATTAAAAGTATTTCTTGTAAGAATGAATACAAAATCCTCTCTAATACCATTAGAAGTATTGGTTTATGTTGAAACTTAACAGAGAAAAAAAGTGTTAAATGTTCAGTCAGTTTCCATTCAATCCTGTATAGAGAGAATGATATAAAAATAAAATTATATTTGTTGGTTAGTTTACAAAATTTTTTTAAATATATATATTTATTTTAAGCTGGGGTGTTTCGTGTATTGCTACGAGTTACTATATATGTATTCTCATTTGCTTACAAAGTGAATTTTTCTAAGTAGATGCAAGCAATACCATTTCTATTCAGCGCATCTGCATATGGTTATGTTGAACGAGAAGAGGGATGTTGTGACAATGTTAACAGAAAAAGTTGTTCCTGTAAGATGGAAACGATGGTTACAGGATGGAACTCTTCACAATTTCCATATTTCTTTTATCGGTGTATCTTGAATAAAAAGCCTACTTCTTTTTGAGAATTACTATTTTATGCATCATAAAAATCTTCTAAATAATAAATGTTACATTTAATGAGAGAGTTTCCATAAATTTTACTTTTAAAATATCACTTAACTTATGAAAATATATATTATAATTCTCCGTCGTCTTCTATGATAACATCTTTTAAAACTTCACCTTTTGATGAATTCTACATTAGGCGTATGTTTATAAACAGAAAACTTTGATAACCGAGTTTTTATTGAATTTTTATTATAAATTCTTTTATAAATTGAAAAATTTGTAGTTCTGAAAATATCTTTAGATTTACTTATCAAAATTTTTCTTTTATTATATTATTAATTTTATAAAATAGTCTATTTTGTTACAGACTTTATACGTATTGTGTCTGCTTATTTTATTACTTTTATTACTAAATATTAAAAATACAAAATGCTAATTTAAATATTTCATCTTATTTTGCATAGTTATATCATTAGTCTAATAAAAATCAAATGTACGAGTATAAATGCTATAGGTTAGACCTTATTAAAAGCATAAAACCTTTAATACTATCGAGGTTACGGCCGAAGTTTTTATCTGAGAGAAAAATATTTTCGTGGTACTACAAGATGAAATTTAGATATAACTGTACTCGCTNCAAATATACGTCGTCAGTCATTAGAGATGTCAACTCTTTGCAATAGAAATAATTTCCTCGTTTGAAAGAGATAGCGGAAAAATAGAAAATTTAATTTATAATGTCATTCGCTAAATGTAATTTTTCGAAGTGTTTTTAAATTAGATTACCGTTATGTGTAAGTTATTAACATAGATCAAATAGAAACGATGACTAATTTTAATAAATTTAAAAAACATAACTTTAAATGACTAAACTGGAATTAGTAAATTTAAACAAAATAAAATAAAATTAAATTAATATTTATAGTTAAAAAAAAAGATTAAAAAATGTATAGTTATGACGAAAAATAAAGCGAAGATGCTTTAGCATCTTTAAACAGCTTGATTCACAGCCTTCCTTCGTTTCAATTGTTTTGTATTTTTGTATTAGAAATCACAAGTGAAGTAAGTTATTGCTATTATAAATATAGTTAAATAGAGTCAACAGAGATAGAATTTTCTCTCCTTTTCTCGATGATTCTTTATAATTAATTAATTTTTCGATATTTAAGATATTAAATAATTGATTTACATATTTCTAATTTAATAATTTGTGATTTATTCAGAAGTATAATACATTTAAAATATTTTCAGACATAAAAAGAAAGTACAGAATTTTTTACCGACGAAAACGGAAACTACGGGACGATGTGAATTGCCTAATCCAAACGGAGTTACCTATGATGATATGATCATCAATCATCATCCAATACGTCTCCCTCCTCAGCCTGGAATTGACACATCCAATCTTCCTCCCTGTCAGGTATATATGCATTTTTTTTCTTTGTAATCTTAATAACGATTATATAGAAACTTTTCTCGATTTAAAAGCTTATTCATGAAGCAAAATAAAGATAAAACTGAGAGAAATGTAGACAAAATTCTTACAAGGGGACATTAAAAAAATATATATATATATACGTTCATATTTTCAAATAAATTTAACTTTAATAGTGATTTTAACTCGGGATATGATCGAAAAGTCTTTTTCTTTTCTTTGTTTTAGCAATTGCAATTTTTAAAAATCTGAATCCAATAAATGGGACTAGTGACTAATATCTCTCGCGAGGATCGCCGTCTCGTAAAACAGTAAAACACTTTTTCCCCAAATGAAGACATTAGAAAAAAGAAAACAAGCAACTTCTTATCTCTTTTTCCCAGACGTCTCACAATTCATTGCGACCAACGTTCGGGTTATGGCGTATTGAGTACCAAACTCCAAACACATATACACGTCGCTACGTCATCCGTCGTCGAAGCATCGACTTGATGTCAGCATGCCTATCGTAATTAGACTTAACGTCTCTTGGCTGCGGCAGATTTTCCAGAATGCTTAGAGAGATGAACGAACTGCCTAATCTCCTTATCTCGACAAGCAGACGGTCTTCAGAGACTGAAAGGAGATTACAGATGTTAGGAGAAAAGGGCAAAACACAACGAAAGAATGAAGACGTTTTCTCCAAAAATCTTGTCCTTGTATTTTGTTTTTTTTTCCACTTAAAATCGTTTTTTTT